GTAAATGGAGAGCGTAAAGAAAAGCAAGTATGTGCAAAATAAAATGTTTGCACAAACATACTATTATCGACAAAAAATATCTACTTGTGTAGTTGAAAACAAAGTGTCAGGTTTTTTTTCGGTCAGTTATTTACACTTCAGAATGTTCTGAAATTGTATGTCAAATATATTGAAAATGCTCATGAATAGCACTTTAAAAATTTACCTTTTAGGTCTTATAACTAATACAATTCTATTGACTACGTGAGTTAAATAAAAAATAGTTATTTATATTTGAGAAGAAAGAGGTAATGTTATCGATCTTTTTAGAAAACTACAAAATCAATTCTGATTGTTAAGGTACGCATTGTACGTATCGGTCGGATCGTATGAAACGGATCAAATTGTGGTAATGCGTCCACTGTACCGGTAGCAATCATATTGCCAATGCGACGGTCGGTTTTTTTAGTAACATTCGCATTATCGTAGCGAAATCCGTATGACGTCATCCGCACCAGTCGGAAAAGTTGCTCCTTCGGGCATTACCGACGGACCGATACGTGCGATCCGTCCCCTGCTGGTCAGTGGACGCATATGTATAACTTACTACACTAATAATTCTAAATCCGTTTCATACGATCCGTACGATACGTACAATGCGTATCAATGGACGCGTACTTTTAATATTTAATTTTAATCGAATTTACTTAATTTCAGAAATATGTATTATTTTTTACATACGATTTTTTGATGACTTTTAATTTACTTGAAATTTATGTTACGAAACATTAATAATGTATGAATATGTTATGCCTCGTTTAAATTGATTTTCATTATGATTTTTAAATTTGTATTTTAGGCAAATATTATTTAATGGTATTTATAGGAATATGATGTTGTTTAAAATCAAGCTACGTGACAATCAGATAACTTAATGCTAGATATTTTTCATAAGATAATAATATAGGTGCGTTACCCCAACACCCGCACTTTCAAAAACATGAATTGTAATCAAGCAGTATTATGTACTTTATTTTGTACAATTTTGTACAACCAAAATTAAATTTTGTACAACCCCCGAACCTCCCCGAAATTCAATTTCATTTTACGGGTGCTGCGGTAACGTTACACCAGCACCTGGATCAACTAATTTTCACAAATTTCAACTTTAAACCGTACAGTATAATGTACTTTATTTTGTACAATTCCCAAACCAGAGGCGGCTCGTAAAGTTCATAGAAGTTCGAGTACAAAATTTTAATATTTCCCCTTTATCTATTATCATAGTTTACCACCTTAAACTTCTATTGGTAATTCATATAATTAAATTCTTTAATATGTACTAAATTATTTTCCATTTTTATAGGTTAATTCTATATTCTGGAACATCTATGTAAATAATTTTTATTAAACTTTTAGATTCTTAACGGAGTGATGAACGTGTTTATTTATCAATGATGTGTGCTTTTTTTTTATTGTGTCTGTCATCACGTTTAGGAGTGGTAATAGTGTTTTGATTTTTGGCTTCAGCCCCTCTTTAAAAATTTAATTTAATTTAGTTTATACTTTAGGTAATTTATAGTAAAAAATTTTTATTAGTTTTTATGAGACTCTCTAATAACTTGAAAAAGTAACGGAAAAACATGAATTTATGTACAACCACTTTTCGACTAAATCGATTTTTTGATTTTGCTGTAACTCAAAAGCGAATCATTGTAAAGACTTGAAATTTTAACCAAATGTTTATATTAGCGTTATATATTTATGATTAAATTTTCAAAATATTTATAGACCATTGAAATTTTCGATTTTTTTAAATTTTTTTTTCTTTAATTAAATACCGATAAAAAAATTTGGCTCCTAAAAAAAAATCTTTAAAATGTAATATAAGATGTTTATTGTATACTACCCCACTGCAACTAAACGGATCATTATGCATTGTATTTAATAATCAATTATTTCTATTTTTAGTATTTGCCGTTTATAATATGTTATCGGAAATTTTATTGACAATTATTTCTGAAAACTGTTTCTTTTCATTTTAAAATTCATACCATACAGTATAACAAATAACAATCCGGCTAATAATACTATTATTGTTTATAATTTATGAGTAATGATTGTTTTCGTTATATTTAGTTTTGGTAATCCAGTTGCACTTGTGTGTGGACTATCGAGTTATTAGTGCGTTAAATATTTACGTAAATAAATATCAAATATAATAAATATTGTGTACCGAAAAAATATCGACAAAACGTGTGATTATTATGATATTACCATCTAGGTGGACAGTACTGCTATTGCAGTGGTCGGATTTCTACTGCTATAGCATTAATATTTAATTGCGTTTCTGAAGGTTCTTAAGAAAAAAACCAAAATTCAGAATGTCCATCAATGTGTTAACAATAATATTGTTGATCAAATTTGCATAAAATAAATTTTAAATCTAAAATAAACATATCATATTTTTTGGAAATTACAAATTATACGTAATAAAATGCAAAATTATTATAGATACAACTCTATTTAATTTTATATTTTTATTTTTATAAGTCTTATATTGATTATTTTTAGACTATTTTCTAAAAGAAGAAATCTTTTGTTTGTTTATATACAGTCTAATTAATTGTAGTAGGAAGTAGGTACCTATTATAGGAAATTGATAAATTTAAAATGTAGATCCTACACATTTAAAATAATTGAATAGGTACTTGAATGTATTAAAGCTGTAGGTATGTTGAATCATACATTGCATTGTTTATATTATTTAGATACCTATACTAATACAATAATACTATAGCCATCCAAAGTAATTTGATCTTTCAAATTTAAAATTTCATCATTAATATTTTCATTTAAATTATTTGGTTTTCTTTCTCTATTATCACTTATTAGAGTAATACACAAAAATTTTAATTATATTTTAGTATAAAACAAAATAAATTCAAGGAAATTATACCTAATACACGAAATAAATGTAACTTATTTAAATGATTACAATTTTAGAAAACAGAGTACATTAAGACATTAAGTGATAGGTACATTCAAGTTCATATTAAAACCATATACATATTATTATAGACAAAATTATAGTAAATTACTAAAATAAAATGAATCTATGAGTCAAAATATTCGATACATTTTGTTTTACTAAAGCTTATATCATGAATAGATGAATTAGTCGACAATGTTGAAAGTAGGAATGTAGCATAATGCCCACGTACGACGTACCAACTACTTAGTATCATTGTTCATTGTTTATAAATAGTATTTATTATTGTACAACCTAAAATTGTATTAGACTATTTTTAGAAATGCAATATTATATTTTTATTCTTAACATTAAAATAACAATATTAAATTACAACTACTGTGATGATGACAAGAAATTGGTCAGACAATATTAAAATAATAAAAACTTTTACGGTATACCTACGTCATAACAAATATAAAACGATGTTTATTGACATGTATACTGCCCTTCTAAGCCAGTAAGCAACAATGGAGTAGTTTTGAGAAAAATGAGTAAAAAAGTAACATTAGGTATAGCTAGTTGAATAATAATTATATTGGCGATAAAAATAACTCATTATAAATTATATAAATATAACTGATATTGGTTAATAGTTTGTTCGTCGATGTCAGTAGGAGGGAATTATCGGTATTTGTAATTTTAGTTAGCTTATTACTCTTCGTAAACATATTTATATTATTTTATATTAATATACATATTTTTTAAGTATTTTATGGACACATCAAGCAGCTCGAAACGCGTGAGTACGTTTTGTATTTCACTATACCGTTTTTTATTATTAATCACTAAAAGTGTTATAAATTACGATTCTGTAATTTAAATTAAAATAAAATGTATATTCAATAAAATATTTAACGGAATATATTTGCGGTCTTTGAACCTTGTTTATTTTTTACTCGTGTTAAAAAAGTTACCTACAGCTTAATCCTAGTATCTAATACCTAATCGGCGTTGACATTCTTATGTCAACTGTATTCAGTAGAAACAAGACATATACATGTACCTGCATATAATGTAGATACTCTTCGACTTTTTTTTGTTATTCTTATCAGAAAATAAATCATTCATTAACAAATGTAAAAATGTAATATGATATTAATATATAAATATATAAATGATTAATTTAACTATTGTTAAAATAATTCACCTACTTAATATGATTGACATAATTTTAAAACTTGATATCTGAGAACTTACTTAATATATTCTGTTGATTCTTTTTGAAATATATAGTTAATCAACTATTCTTACCTAAAAGGAAGTGCTGTATATTCGATAAAAGTATCTTAGATACAATATTGATAGAAGATACGCGATAACACCCGTAAGATGAAATTGAATTTCGGGGAGGTTTGGGTGTTGTACAAAATTGTACAAAATAAAGTACATAATACTGTACGGTTTAAAGTTGAAATTTATGAAAAATAGTTGACCCGGGTGCTGGTGTCACGTTACCGCAGCACCCGTAAAATGAAATTGAATTTCGGGGAGGTTCGGGGGTTGTACAAAATTTAGTTTTGGTTGTACAAAATTGTACAAAATAAAGTACATAATACTGCTTGATTACAATTCATGTTTTCGAAAGTGCGGGTGCTGGGGTAACGCACCTTAATTATATGCAATATGAATTTTATACAATTTAGGTTATTAGATGACCCGTGACGAAATCAAATTTATTTTTATGTTGGTCAATAATTTGATGATTTGGTGCAAACTATTATCAATTGATTACATAATATTGGACTACCCATAAAAGTTTTGTCAGTGGTGTTGGTGGAGGCGTTGCCTACCAGGTTCCGGTCTCACTCTCATGCACGTAATCGTGTTCGCCTATAACGTGGTACAATGGTACTCCATAGTCCGACGCTGTGCAGAAAATTAAACACAAACGTAATCATCTCACACACTGTTACACAGTTCAAATAAATACATCTTGTGTAAACTGTTATTTAGATATAATACATGTCATACGATATTGTTAACGAACCGTTTAGGACGTGTACGGTAACTGACGTGCTTGCAATATCAGTTAGTGAACAGGTATACTTCCCAGAATCGGAAGTCTGGGCATTGGCTACGAAAAGTCTGCTCTTTGCTCCATTAGACAGTATGTCGGTCTTCACGCTGAAAAAGTAAAAAACAAGTGAATATGAGTATTTTAGGTTTATCGGAAGCATCAAACTTATGTCACTCAAATACGTGTAAATGACAATATAAAATTCTAAATTTGGTAATACAGTCCGATGACATTTATTCGAAATGAACGCTGTATATTTAACCTGGGTAAGAACTTGGTGTAATAACATATTTATTTATACCAGATGTGTTAATTTGTATAATAGTGTGGTGGAAATAAAAATTAAATAATTTATTTTAAACATTTTTAAATACATTATTTATATTAAATATAAATTTTGTCTTACCTATGTACACTGTACATTGTACAGGTATTTAAATAAAAATCGTAATTTCGATTTTAAACGATTTAAAGAAAAAATAATAATACTGAACACTAATGGTCGTAAGAAATACTAATATTTTTAGGTAGTTATTATATCCGAACTCAAAATAAATAATTTACCACAACTAATTAACCATCAGTTTATTTTCATTGTGGATTTAAGTGAAACGAAACCTTTTTGATTGTAGGTGGCTTTTATTCAAAACACATATGTGTTATTTACATTTTTATATACATTTTTTCCGCGCTTTTTTGTACACTTTTAAGAGTATATTTGATGATTTTTCAGCAAATCAAGTACCAAACTTTAGTTTTAACAATACTATTGTACTAAAAACTGTAGGGATACGTATAACATTTTTTTGTTTTTGGTCTCAATTCTAAAATGTTTGTTTATTTAATCATATGGAATCTACATTCGAGAAAATCTGTGTTAATTAATAATGCTATTCTATTATGGTTATGATGGGTTTTATTTATTTCGTAAATTTATATCTACTAATTCAAAATCATAATGTTTAAATCAACAACAGAAATCTCACAAAAATATTACATAATTAATTTATGCCTATATCATATGTAGCTGGAATTTATAAATTTTACTACTATCCTACCTATAGGTACACGTTGTCAACAAAGCAATATTAAAATGGGGTGAACCGTAGTGAACAGCACATGGTGACATAGCATTGTAAATAGAATATTAATGGAAACGACTTATTGCCATGAAACCCTCACAGTCTGAATATGGGAATTATATTAAATATCCTAAACATAATAACGCCGTGGCGTGTAGATTGTATTAAAAAATGATAAAATCATGCAAACTTGATGGCTAACCATCTAAAATTAAATGTGATAAATAACTGTGAATTAGTATCGAAGTTGATGTTATTGTCTAATCTATATCTATAAGACATAAAAATTGTTTTTTACCTATGTCTTTTTATGCATTTCTAAACTACTTAATCGATTTTGATGAAATTTGAAAAATAGATGAATTAGACCTCGGAGAAGAACATAAGCTCCCTTTTGTCGCAAAAAAAAAAAAGAAAGGGAAACATCAATACATTTGATAAGGCCCGAATGAGCAGTTGTTTTGTTGTTGCTATATGTTGCTATAAAAACTGAAAAAAACGTGACGGAACTGTTATATACCTTAGAGAGCATCTATAAAATGATGAATATGTTTATTTTACTAATAATAATTTCCAAAAGCAATTATATTTTCCTTAAAAATGACACTTATCGTTTTTTTTGATTATATAACTATATTTAATATTCACCCATTACTTAACAAATTATTATTTTAGCTATTATTTCGGGTGAAATTAAAAATATATCGCTTTTATATCGAGTAACACCAGAAAGGAGTTAAATACTTACAATTTATTTACCAGTAAACACCGGTTAATTCAGCTTTAAATAAATATTAATTTATAAAAAAAAAAAAATTAAGTACAACTCATTGTACTCACTCGCTAAATCACAAAAGCAACAAAATGTATAAACTTGAAATTTCATATAATGGTCTCTTCAATACTAAATATGTGGAGTAAGAAGGAATTTTACCACCAAACACGGTTTTATGATGGTAAATAGGGTAATAACACAACCAAAACTACCATAACGATTCGATTGCAATTTCGTTTTATTTGTTTTATAACCAACAGTTACACCAAAGTAGGCTTTAAAAAACTGTAAGGTAATAATCAGGCCTCGGAAGTTGTTTCATTTCCAACATTTTATCTATTGTTCGGATTTATTGCTAATTAGATTTTAAGTTCGTTTCATACAAGGATTAATTAAAATTCAAAAGATATTTTTAGTGCAAATATGTGCACTTTTGCGTATTTTTTCTTATTTTTCTTACTTTTGAAATAAGTGATTTTGGTAGATAAATTGCCAGAATATTTATCAATTCAAGAATTGATTTATTTTAAATATGTGCCTATAACTTCAGTTGACGTGGAGTGCGGTATTCCACATACAAGAACTTATTGTTTTTTAATAGGAGATCTTTCGAGTTTGAGAACCTGAAAATATCGTTTATACTCAAATAATTTTTAAGGTAGGTATACTTTTTATTTATTATTTTTTTTTTTTTATTGCTTGCAGGTTTTCGAAAGTTCAACTAAAACCAGTTTAATTTAATTTTTATTTTTTAATACTTTATTTTTATACCTAATATCAATTTTTAATTAAATAAACAAGCCATTATCAATAAAAAATTAGGGTTTCTTAAAAGGTAAAAATTTAAATTTAAAACTGTAACAATCACACACACATGCTACCGTCCGCTATGCCACGCCACCGGTATCACGACATTGCACGTTGGCACGTCGATCTCGTGCGCTACGACGGCAAGAGATAGCGTTGACGCGACATAATATTAAAAACCTAAATTTCACAACATAATTCATCAACTTTCACTCACTCATAGTAATAAAGAGATAATATAATTCGGAAACGCCCCCAATGCACAATAAATTAATACCTCCAGAAGCAATATATATTACTTTGTAAAAAACTTATTAAATAAAACATGTACCTTTTATTCACCCGGAGAATCAAATCAATAACCACCGAATATATATATATATATATATATATATAGTTTAACTCGACACACCAACTCGTTTCCTCTTTCCTGACCAAATATCGGCTGCATGATGTAACTGTTGGCTACAGAGTCTAGGGTACAGCCTTAACACCCCGTCTGTCGGACTGCCTGGCCTAAAGGATATCTCCCTATCAATGTCAGCGCTTTACACATAAACTCAATTTTTTTTATACAACACGTTCAGCTCATAGACCACTTTTTTAAAACAAAACCCGGCATGAATAAGGTTAGGTTATGTACGATGTGGTCGTAAAACCCTACACCTTCGACTATTTTACCATTCACGGTGGAATATAGGTCTCCATGCTAGGTTCGTGACCCGTATTCCCTTTCACGCCGTGACCTTCAGTATTACAAAATATACAAATAACCGTCCTACTATAAACCATTCGACTTTAAAGCGCTACAGAGCCGTAAGTTATAAAACATATTAAATATTATTCGTTAGGTTAAATATTTGTATTAACAAGTATGTTTTGATTTTATATTGTATTCATTTTATTTTGACATTCATACAGTTATGTATTTATATATATTCTTATGTATTTATTGTAAAACAACTGTTCTTATGAATAAACTTATTTTGTAATGATAAAAGTCAGCGTGTTCTGTTCATTACAAAACTATAAATAAAAAAAAAATTATGTATTTTTTATTGGACTTATTTAATCAAATTTCGAAAGTTATAAATTTTTATTCAATAACTTCCGAGCCCTAGTAATAATCTATAATTTTATTTTCTGGACAATAATCATTGCGAAGTCTATGCGCAGAAAATTATAAGTTCCATTACTCTTTATGTACTAACATTATTAACCTATTAATATGAAATTATTAACTACTCATAGTAATCACATGTTAATATCGTATACAATAACTTCGTTCAACCTGGCGTTAAGCGTCCATAACACATCTCTGAGAAGTCAACAGGCACTTATTCGTAACTTCTTAAACATCAATGTGACAATTATGCGACTACTATGCTGTTTGAACGTACCGTCGCGGAGCCTTTGAAAAATATTTATCGCCAGCCGGCCGCGCGACACTCGCGAACGTGCGCTCTGAAGAAGCTTATGAAATATGGCGAGAGGAGGAGATGGTGATGTTCAAGGACAACAAAAGGCCAAAGAAATAATAGACCAATGAATAATATGCCCTTGGGTACAAACCAAACTTATTATTATTAAGGTGTACAGACAATAAGTAAATAAAAACAATCTTATCTCAGGTGGTGGTGATAAGGGTCCACAACTGATAATCGCTACACCTGACTCCTAGATGGCAGCGTAAATAAACACTACTACCAACCGGCAGACCGCAACGGACTACAATCGTGGTGATGGATGGCTTGTGTCGGGAACGAAGTTGGTACTATTGGCGTACGCGACGTGCACGACAAACCGGCTTGTAAATAGGACCACAGGTGAAAACCACGTGGACGCCAACGAAACCAGAGTGATCGCGAAACGAAAACAGGTTAACGTACGGGAAACGCACTCGAAGAGGAACTGTCTAATACGCACAAAATCGATTTCGTGAAATACGTGCACGGTGATGGCACAATACCACTGTTCACCAATCAACCGACGCGATAAACTGGGCGTAAGGACGCAAGGCCGCGAAAGTGACCACGAGGTCGATAATATCTAAATAAAGACGCGTTGAAACTACACGCGGTGACACACACACGAGATCGACCGACAGTCGCGGATCAAACGCACGACAAAACGACAATCACGTACAAAAAAGAAATCAACCTTAGGAAGATAACACTCACGGAAAAAAGGCGGCGCAGGCACGATAGTTATCGGCCGGCCGAACGCGAACGTGTGTCCAGAACCGAAAATAAGTTTTTCCGCACACACCACCGCGATCGACGGTCCGGGCGACCGGGTGCGCGTCACCGGTGGGGGTAAAAAAGAGGGGGTGCCGACGGTGGTCTTGGCGAATCCTCGACGCTCGTCGCGATGGTGCACTAACATATGCTATAGGATTTTGCACACCGGGCATGTTTATTACATTATACCATTGATTAAAAAT